GGTTTTGTAAAACTGAGCTTCTGTGGCAGAATTCAACTGTAGAATACATTCATGGTATCTGGAGCGTTGGAGAAGTGGTTGGTTAGAAAAGCAGCCACAGCAAGTGTTGTGGGTAGGAACACTTTGGAATGCTGTTTGTGCTGTGGGGCAGAGAGAAATCCAGTGGTTTACATCGGACCTGGAACCTTATCTCATTTAGGCCTCCTTTGGTAGAGCTTTCACACAGTCTTCTAGTGAGATAAAGACTCTCAATACTAATAGGAAATCATGAAGAAGGTAAACCTGGATGTTCAAGTGTTTTATGCTGGATACTGGGAGCTAAAAGATGAATTATGCATCGTCTTACTTCACTTGTGTTTGTTACAGACCAATTTCTTTCCTCTAAGGAAAACACTGATAAATATTTATGTCTGAGCTCTATATTTATAGCCTCCCATGCTGGTAATATGTGACCAGTGGAGTCCTTGATGCCTCAGAGGAGTGACCAGGACAATTACTAAGAAAATGAACAGAAGAGCTGGAGAGATGGCCCAGCACTAACTGCTCTTGCAGAGCACCTGGGTTTTATGTCCGGCACCTACATAATGGCTCACAACCATCTGCAACTCCAATTCCAGGAAACCTGACACTCTTTTCTGGCCTTCACAGATTCTAGGCACCCACGTGGTATACAAGCATGCATACTGGCAGAGTGCCCATACACATAAACTAAAAATAAATCAATCTGAAAAAAAAGAAAATGAAATGCAAATCCACAGATTCTCTTATGAAGGTGAGATGGGCTGGAGTTCGGGGGTCATCCATGTCCCCCCTCCCTTGCCAGACACATGTGAATGTTCCTGTTGTTTGCCTGAATGGGAGGTGTCTTAGACGTTGCCTCAAATAAATTCTTCAAGAAAGAGGTGCTTGCTGACCGATCCAGAGGAATGCTACAGGTCTAGATTCAGTGCCTGGAGCCTGGTCAGGGTGAGTGGCTTTAGGGACTCCTTAAAGGAAAAGAAAGAAAACAGGAGCTGAAAAGTAACCTGGTGGTAAAGTGCTTGTCACACAAGAATGAGGACCTGAGTTTGGATCCCTAGTACCGACATAAAAAGTTGGGCATGATGCTGTAAATTTGTAAACCAGAGGTGGGGGTGGGGAGACAAGCAGAGCCCTGGAGCTCATTGGCCAGCCAGTCTGCCCAATCAATGAGCTCCAGATTCAATAAGAGACTCTGTGCCCCTAAATGAGGAGAGTGGTTGAGAAGGACACATCATGGTGACCTTGGACCTTCACATGTATGGGTACACATACACACACATGAACACATAAGCAACACACATGCACGAAGAAAAAGAAGAAAGAGGGGGTGGGGGAGGAGGAGGAAGAAGAAGAAGCAGAAGAAGAAGAAAAAAGAGAAGAAGAAGAAGAAGAAGAAGAAGAAGAAGAAGAAGAAGAAGAAGAAGAAGAAGGCAATAGTGACCCAAATGTGAATCAAGACTCTAAGACATTTTATTCCAGAGTTGGACCACTTTCACCCATGTACTTAACCAAACTGTTAATGCTTTCCTTATGTTCTTGGAAAAGATAATGATAATAAATAATAATAGTATGAGAGTACGATTTATGCCTCAGGGCATTTGATAATTGGCTGTGTACCCTCAGAGTAGCTGACCTTAAGGAAAACATTTTAAATGGCAACTTGGTTACGGTTTTGCAATAGATCCTTAATTTAGATTCTTATGCACAGAAAACACTGGCTCTAGGCATTGCTGCTACGTCCGTGAGGATAGATTTATTTTGCTTATACAGCCCTATATTTATTAGGCAGATGCAGATGCATTTGGACCATCTACTGCATTCTTGCATTCTGCTGAACACTAAGAATAAAATGGTAAATGCGGTGTCCTCAGGACCAGAGAGAAATGCCTTCTAGTCAGGAGAAGGGAGCATGATGCCCTGCTGATGGAAGGGGGAGGTGCACGCCCGAGGGGAGAGAGGAGGTGAGGGTGAGTGATCAGGATTCTTGGCCTTTTCTGGTAATTTTCCTTAAAGACACAATATCTTTAAAAAAAAAAAAAAAAAAAAAAAAAAAAAAACAAAAAAATTTAAAAAAAAAAAAAAAAAAAAAAAAAAAAAAGACCAGTGACAAATAACGATTCTCAAAGTTGACCTTTACTGGTAGCTTGGGCAGAATCTCTTGCCTAATTTCTTCAGAAGTAAAGGAAATGACTTGAGTGACAAATTATAGATTCTGCAGAGTCACAGGCAAGCTAAGTATTTAACTTTGTATTAAGGGTTGGGCCCAGCGTACCTTGACAAACATTCGAAGCTTGCCAGATTTGTTCCTTCCAAGTATCACACTTAGAAAAAGGGAGGGCCTACTAGATAGCCTTATGAAAGGGGCAAGTTAAAGGTGGGTATTAGTCCTGTTAGATTATCTGCACATTTACGTATTATGTAAACAGTTAAAAAAAAACAGCTTAGTTTAGCAACAGCAACCTAAGACCAAGAGTAAATTTCTTAGAAGTTTTAAAATAATAACAGCATAGTTTTGTTTTTAACACAGATTATCTTGTTCATTAATTTTAGTAAGCACAGACAAAAATTTTTATGACATTTTTCTGTATAGCTGTGTGTGTGTGTGTGTGTGTGTGTGTGTGTGTGTGTGTGTGTGTTTACACATGTGTTCATATGCATATGAATGCCTAATGTCAACCTCAGGAGTTGTTCCTAAGGAAACATCCACCTTACATGTGTGGATGTTGTGCATGGAGACCAGAGGGTCAGCCTCAAATGTTGCTTTTCATGACTCAGACTTCTTACTTTTGGAGACAAGATCTCTCATATGTGTTTCAATATGAATAACCACAGAGGTTAGGTAGTTCATAAGAGACCAGTGGGGAGGAGTGTCTAGTGTTATAAAGAGAAATGGATGACTAAGTAGAAAAGAGGATGGGAGGGCAGGGTAAGGGAGAGAATATGAAGATGGACAGCTAACATGCTGAGCTGTTGGCCAAAGGGATGCATAGGCTACTCCCAAACATCAGGAGCTATTGCTAAGACTATGAGTTACTGTCCGTATCTAACCTGATAATACAGCCCTACTACTGAAGATACAACTTCTTTATGTCATTCAATGTGGAGAAATGGAGCTGGTGCCCAACTGAAAGTTTCACCCTACTGACAAGTACTCATGGTTCTGGAAAGTTCTTTGCTGACTGGCAGGAAAAAGACATTATCAAGTTTCACCCAGTGGTCTATCTGTCTGCAAGATATACTGGTACAACAGTGGTCCGAACATTATGGAATAACCAACCACTCTTTAAAATTTGACTTAAGGCATGGAACCCATACCTGATACTGCTAAAGTGGCCAAGAACCTAGGACTAGAGAGGTCATAGGCCTAGGGGAAAACCTGCTACTAGTTTTCTGCTAAAGGAACATAGCAAGAAAATGATTCTTAGTGACGTAATGCTATACCCACAGAGCAGAGTATCACTTAACCCTCATCAGAGACGCTTCTTGCAGTAGATGGGAATTAGCAAAGAGATCCACAGTCAACAATGTACAGAGAGCAGGAAGCTTTGGAGCCCTTAGCCCTAGGTGGGAAGTCTTTATCAAACTCCTCCCTTGAAAGGTCAGGGATCCAGGTAGAAGAGGAGACAGAAGTTGTGGATGACTCCAAGGAAACTGTCTTGCAGACACAGCAGTGCTGATAGACATATGAACCCACAGAGTCTGTGAGAGCATGCACAAGACCTGCACAGGTTCAACCCAGACAAAAATCCCAGCACTTAGAGGGGACGTGGACATAAAGTCCCACCTCTAACCAAGAAGCTGTTTGTAGTTGATACCTGCTGGGGAAGGGAAATCAGTCTCTACCCCATCCCAGAGTGTCACTGGATATGTCAGTCACACTCCAGGGCAGGCCCCATGCCCAGGAGTGGTGGGGGCAACATCAAACAGCCACCATGCTTTTGTGTGAGCTTTTGGTTTTGTTTTGGCATTTTTTGTCCTATCTCCTTTTTTTGTTGCTGTTTGCCTGTTGTTATTTTCATTTTTTGTTGTTTTGTTGGTTCCATGTTTTTCTTTAGAGAAAAAGAGCAAGAAAAACAGGAAGTGGGGTGTTGGGAGGTGAGGGAAAATCTGAGAGGAGTTGGTGAAAGGGAAAGAAAAAAAAGCAAAATTAAAAAAAATAAAAGCCCCCAAATACACAGAAACTTGCAGAATATAAAGTTACATAGCTGTAAATTTTGAGATAGCTATCAGATAAAATTATCATTTCTGCTAAAACTTACCAGCCATCAAAGCAATGCGAGTAAGACAAAATGTCAGTACACATTTGAATATTTTAATCAAATAACATTGATTGTAACAGTGTGGATAATACATATGTGTGTGAGATGTGTGCCTGTGCACGTGTGCAGAGGCCAGACATCAACATCAAGTGTCTTCCTCTATTTCTCCTCTGGATTTTGAGACAGTCTCAGAATCCGGAGCTCATCCCATTGGCTAGGCTGGCTGGCCAGCAGCCCTCCAGGATTAGCCTGGCTCTATCCATCTCCTAGCACTGGGGTTTAGAGTCACTCTTGGCTTTTATGTGGGTGCTTAAGATCTGGACTCTGTTCCTCATGCTTGCTTAAAAGTCTCCTCAGTTCTAAAAATGTCTTTTAAAAGAAAACAAAACAGAAAATAAGGTAGCTAAGTGAAAGCCACCTAAGTAAGGAGTTGGAAATTTTAGGTTAATTTCTGATTCAGGAACTTGTGAGTGTGTGTTTGGGTTGGAGCAAAAGTGAAAAGTCATTTTAGGGAGGCGAGGAGGTCTACCACAGTGGACACGAGGAGGATGAAGGCAAAGTCCACACAATCCCTTCTGTGGGAAAGTTGAGTTATAAATACCACGAGTTGTCAAACAGCCTGCTCAATCCATTTGTCAATAGTGATGGACTGGAGTATGTTCATTTTCACTTAAGAACTCAGAACGTTGGAGCATTCAGTGATGAAGTCATGTTCACACGTGATTTTGCCAAATAGTTTATTCAAAGTTATAAACAATGTCACAGATATAGTCGGCTACTTAATTATTATTTTTAAGTATATTGTACAAATTCATATAGTCAATGTTGTGGTTTCTAGGGGTATGACATGGATTGTGTTTTTATTTTTGTCTCTGTTGTAAAACAGTGAAAATTAATGAAAAAGTTACATCATGCTATAATTGTTATGATCTTACACAGCAATTCCCCAACCTTTTTTACCATACGTCTCATCGGCTGTTATATACATTAGCTTTTATCAACTGAAAACTAATAGCTTACACTGTCAGAAATGGTCATGTTATATTCCATCAGTTTTCTGTTATCATCTTTCACATTTACTGTACATCTTAAGTCAATAAAAATGTAGTAGAAATTGCTGTTGTCTAGGTAAGCAAAGCTATTCCTTTAGTAGATTAAAATATTACTATATGGTTAACATAAATTATACTACTTTAGTAACAGTAAAACACACACAAAAAAACGTTTAGTGAACAAACTTGAAACCATTAGGTATACATAAAATTCTGAAGTGCTAAGTAAACAAAGCAGAATAAAAGTGTTGGCATATAGATGTCAGAGAAAACAAGAATGACGTTTAGGGAGGAGGAGATATGTTAAGGATATGTTGGTCAAAAGAACCAAAGAAAGAGCAAAAGTTAAGCTAATATATTCCACAGTGAGCAGTGCCAATGTGAACCCAAACAACAAAAGAATTTTTGTGTAAGGAGAGCAAGCCATAGAGAAATTTCATCCAAGTTGATGCACACATCCAAAGTGATAGCTCTTGGGAACTGGTGAGAAGGACACAGCAGGGCGTGAACATAGCCCATAGCCAGTGATTGAAAATCTGAAGTTAATTCAGTGTCTTTCTAGTAAGAGGACCGCACAGTGGAATCCCATTCTACTTAGACACCCTGATGTATGTCCTGGTCAGTACTTACAGAAGAGTTTAAGTTTGTTAAATATGGCCAATGATTTCAATCACAGTTATGAATGAAAATGTGTTCCATTTCCTAACGTATGCTTGGCTTACTTAAACTGATATCTTTAAAAACATCAGAATTCTAAAAAGGAAACAAGTAGCCGGGCAATGGTGGTGCACACCTTTAATCCCAACACTTGGGAGGCAGAGGCAAATGGATCTCTGTGAGTTCGAGGCTAGCCTGGACTACAAAGTGAGTTCAGGACAGCCTGGACTGTTACACAGAAAAATCCTGTCTCCAACCACCTGCCCCAAGGAAACAAGTAAAGGTAACATCATTCCAATTCACAAACACTGGCTTTTTTCTCTTTAATTTTTCAGTTATCCTGTCTTTCCACACATTTGTCAAACCTGTCTAGGTGTGTAGGTATTTGGAGTGCTAGATTTCTTGACAGAAAGAGCTGGTCTGAGGGTTGCCTGGGGCATCTATCAATACATTTGTTGCTTTGTTCTGAGTGAGAAACAGTCACCCTGGGCAACAATGGTCCTCAGCTAGCTGCTCTAGTATTTCAACCTTTTGTTTAGAACTGGATAAAAATTGTGTATTTTTTTAAGGCTTTTAAGATGGACCCTTGTCTAAAGCATAGCATGAGCTATGGTGCTTGCTCATCTGGAGAGATCTGCAAGTGTGAATTTGTTCAGGACTCAAAGCAGACAAAAGTAAATGCCAAGGCTGAGTGTCTTTTGGTTTCTTTACCAATGCCCTATGCCATATATTCATGTTTTTATTGCATTTGTAGTTGTACAGAGGAAAAGAAAAGTATTTTTATATACAATAAGATAAACATTCCACAGCATCTTAACCATTCCCTTAGATGTCTCTTTCTTTCTCTCACTCTTTCTTTAGTGGTAACATTTAAGTTGTTCAACCCAGAGCATACAAGCATCTTATTCCATTAAACTTTAGAAATCTTAAACATGATATTTTCACTTTCATTGTTCTTTTCTTCTACTAGAGCAAGCTGGTTGTCTTTCACACCTATGTATGTCCCACGTTGATTCTTACATTCGAAAGAAACATAGTCAGAGGACTTTTTGTGAAGGACGAAAAAGACCTCTTCTGGCAGAGGGGATTGACACTTTTCCAGCTGAGGGAAGAAGAGAAAAAGCCAGTCTGTGAGTGGGAAGTCCAGGGCTAACATTGCCTCCCTGCGCTAGAACCCATGGGAGAATAATCATTTGTAATTTGGTCTCTCTAGCAGGTGTATTTGCTGAGTTAAGGATGGAGGAGTAAGCGGTGGAGGGAACGGCAGGGGGCAAAGGATGGAGTGGAGTGATTCACTTGGTACATTTAGAGCAGCTGCAGCTGCGTGGTGTAGACTGAGCGGATCTGTATGTGATCCTCTGGATTGATGCTCCTCTTTTGCTTTTTATTGTTTCTAATACAGAGAACATGGCGCTTTATCTAGCAAACTTCTACTTTTCTTTTTTTTTTTTTTACATTTTTTTCATTTTTTGATTTTGCTTTTACATTCCAAGCACAGTTCTCACTCTCAACCCTCCTCCTACCCCCTCGCCCCCGCCTCCTTCCACCCCTCTTCATCTCTCCCCTAGCCCATTTCTCATGGGTAAGGGCTCCCATGAGGAGTCAGCATAGTCTAGCACAATAGGTTGGGGCAGAGCCAGGCCCCTCTCCTATGCATTAAGACTGAGCATGGCATCCCACCATAGGGAATGGGCTCTAACTAGCTAGCTCATGTTCCAGGTTTGAATCTAACCAGCATTCCCCATAGATTGGTTCATTTCCAATTTAAATACAGACATGTTTTCATTTAATTTTAATTAGATCAATATTATGATTATTGATGTTATCTTTAGGGATTTATTTTACTTTAAAATATAGACATGTGAGTATGTCTCTGTGTGGGTACGTGCACATAAATGTAGACACCCATGGAGGCCAGAGACATCTGACTGTCTCGCAGCTGGAGTTAGAGGTGGTTGTGAGTCACCTGACAATAAATACTGGGGACCCAACTCAGGTCTCAATCTCTAAGGACCTACAAGTGGTTATTATTTTAATCCACTGAGTTTTGAGATAGTTTGTTGCACAATAGCTGACCAGTGTAATTATTCCATCATACACTTAACATTGAGGATTAAAGAGACAGGGCTTGTGAAGCGTTAAGCAAGGACTTGTACCATGACACTCTGCCCTTATTTTTTATTATATATGCTAGATCTTACATTATACACACTTGAGGATATCCTCTTGAGCAGAGTGCTGACCACTGTCTGCTGCTTATGTTGATGTCTTACATGACTGGATCACTTTAAATTTGGCATATTTATAGAAATTGTCTTCCTTATGGTGCTGTCCTGTTTTCTTCCTAACTTCCTGCTCTGACTTGTTTGCTTGTCAACATGCTCCTAATTTTTTGTCATGACCAGTGTCTACCTGCCATTTACTAAGTAAGAATGGATCAGATGTAGAATTTTGTGATGCTAATAACTGCTGATGTATGGACGTGCTTGCTGCCCTCTCCTTGACAGACTTGGATCGAAAAATTAATGAATGTGTAATTAATATATGCTATTTATAATATACATCAATAATATATAACATGTAATTATTACGGAATTTCTGGTGGAACACAGCCAAATGGAAAGCATGCGTGACCCTTCTGCATGAAAGTGCCTCTCAAACTGAAGTGAAGTGATGAAGCTCCTGGGGGGATTGGTCAGACTTTAGTTCAGATCCAGTTGTGGGGGAGCCTGACATCCTGCTTTCTAGCAAGTTCCCTGGTGAGTCTGTGCTGTTGCTAGAGACCAGACTCGTGTTGACAAGGCCACACCGTACTTTTCTCCTTCCCCTCCTTCTGAGCAAGTCATTAGAAGTGACTGACTGTTTTATTTACAACAGCATGCACACAAACTCTGTCTTCAAAATCTCCCTAACCCTGAATATACACAAACAGGTAGAATCAATTTGTGACGGTTACGTAGTCACATTTCTGTTACCTTCACAGAGTGGTTCTTGTCATTGGCATGCAGCCTGATGTCTTTATCTTTGATAGGACTCATGTTCACCATCAGTAGCTTACCATCCACACCATCACCTTACAATGAAAAAGATAACATGTGAAGCAATGCAGTTGCCACTTGGCTGCACTCTACCATTCTGCAAGGTAGAGATAGACGACAGCTACTTCCAAAGCTCCTGAGAGATGCTTCTGTGGTTAAGAGCATCTGATGCACTTGTAGAAGACCTGGATTCAGTTCCCAGAACCCATAGGGTGGCTCACTTACAGGGCATCCATTGCTGGCTTCCTCAAGCACTGCATGCATGTGGTACACTTTTATACATGCAGGCAAAATTCATACACATAAAAAAATAAAATCTTTTTTAAAGTCTCCTATTGTGCATGATTAATACAATTTTACCTATCAATTAAAAATAAAAAGAACAGAAGAAATTATAAGTGGTCCAAGAGGAGGAGGTTAGGTTTTTAATTTCTGTTATTGTTCTGATTTTTTCTAATCGAATTGGTTCCAATGGACACGACTTTGGACTTCGGCTCGTCTGTGTGCATATGAAGCCACCACCGAGTTGTCTTTTAAAGATGATAATAGAACATTTCCCTGCCTGTGTTCCCATGGCTCAGTGTAGCTTTTGGGCTAAGTTCTGACCAACTAAAGGATGAGAAGACATGGGATGTGTAATTTCTAGTGTCCTGGAAGGGAAAAGGAATGTACTCACTCGCCTTCCTCTCTCTTACTGATCGGCATAGTAATGAGACATGAGACACGGACACGATGATGATATTGAAGGAACTGTCTCTGGACAACCTTTGAGCAGAATCTTTCTAGCTGAGGCGGAAGACCGGGCTGTATTATTATAAGTAGCTTATTATTATTATATGTAGTTAAGCCTTTATCCTGCTAGTTCAGAAATAGATGGGGTGGGATAAGTGCTCCAAGAAGCTAAGATCTTACAATGAGCGTGGGGTTGAGGATAACCTTTCGAGCCTCTCCTTCTTTATTAGGGCCACTTTAGATTCATCCCTGAATGAGAATCCAAGCCCCACCTCCACATACCTGATTCATTCGAGGAACGGGGAGACTCATAGTAACGTAGCAGCATCTTGTCTGAAAGACAACATGGTATCACTTGGTGAGAGACAATTGTGTCTAAAGGCTTCCGTTCCATCATAAACAGGGCCAAAAAACCTTGCCCTATACCTTGCCATATACCAGTGAAAGCAAAACTTTAGTGGTTCTTACAAAAACTTCAAAATATATTATGCACTGATGAATTCTTCAGCATGGGTGTTACTGCTTATGGCAGAGAGGTATGCTTTCACAAAAGATTTATGCTATGGTGACACTGAGAAGACACTTGGAAAGACCTAGCCATAATAAATTCATGTGGTCTCTCTTTCCATATTTCTCAACAGTTATTTCTCAACATTTGTATTTCTTCCCTGAAGAACCTGCCTACATGGAACCCTTCTTAACACAGGAAAGACTGGAATTAGCATAGATGATGAAACCCATTGCTGTTGAATACCTCAATTAATCAATTGTTGATAATTTAGTAGATTTTTTTTTTTTTTTACCTTGCCAGTCATCATTACTGAGTATAGACATGAGGAAATAGTCTAAAATTTCCTACCTTTTTCTTGGTCTTTTCCAGAGTCTTCAACATTGATCACATAGCGTCCATTCTCCAAAACTTTGAAGCTAACACATTGGTCATTGTATGTGCTCAGGGAGGCACAAGCCTCTGTAAAGAGTGAAATTGCTGTCAGTAAGGATAAACAACAAACCAACAATCCTAGCAACAATTTTCTTGGCTATTTTTTGAAGCAATTCCTCTAAAGATTTTTTTTTTTATGTGAGCTATACTTTGTCATTGTAACATGGGCAAAAGCCATGTATCATAGTTGGTACCAGGGTAGAATTATAGGTGCTAGCTTCTGGCATGGTGGGGCTGGGTTGAGAAGGAGGACAGCTCCATTTTACCTTCCTACAGTCTAGGGGGTTGTGGAAAAGAATGGTCATGTTTTGGAAGACATAGGTGAATGTATGCCCCTTTATAAAGAATGGTTACTTAGAGATGCCCAACGCTCTAGGAAACTGGTTCTCAGCCTGTGGGTCATAATAGCCCTTTTGGGAGTTGAACAATTCTTACACAGGGAACAAATACCAGCTATCCTGAATATCAGATATTTGCATTACAATTCATAACAGTAGCAAAATTACAGTTATGAAGTAGCAACAAAAATAATTTTATGGTTGGGGGGTCACTACAACATGAGGAACTGTATTAAAGGGTCGAAGCATCAGGAAGCTTGAGAGCCACAGCTCTAGGAGATGTAGATGTAAGCTAGTTTGTGCCTTTGCCTGAGAGGCATACAGAGCACATGATACCATTTTTAAAGCATATGTGTGTAAACTGAAGCAGACTTGGACCACTGTGTGTGTCCTCCATTAAAATTTACTGTACTTTCTACAGGTTATTGAATTTTACAAATAAAAATAATACACAAAATAAGAATTTGTATGTGAACATCTAAAGCAAAGTAATTTAAAAACAGTTTATGACAAATGAATATTGATTCAGAGCTTAATATTATTTGTATTAAATATATATTAAGTACATATACTAAATACATACTATATGTGATACATACTAAATTGTTTTATATAATATATATAAAGTATATATTAAAATAACAACATGTGATTCTTAATCATTTCCTTAGTAGTAGGTTTTTTCACTTATTAATTAATTAATTTTGGGCTTTTTTTTTTGAGACAGTATCTCACTATGCAGTTCTGGCTGTCCTGGGACTCAGACAGACAGACCGGAACCCACAGAAACTCACCTGCTTCCCAAATGCTAGGATTAAAGGCACATGCCACTATGTCCAGGACTCACTTTTATTTTCCCCACATTGACAGAGATTAAATGCAGAGCCTGGCACGTGAGGTAAGTGTTCTGCCACTGAATTAGATTCCCCGGACTCGCTTCAGTTCTTGCTTATCACAGTTTTATTCGGAACTTGGCACAAATGGTAAGAACTTTATTCTTCAAGCCATATCATGTTAAAATTGTATTTTAAAAGACAATAGTTCTTTATTCACTCTCATGCTGAAAATTGTGAAATTTGGGGAGTAATGCAGTTTTTTTCTCTCTCAAAGGATAATTCTTTTATCAGGACTAGCATAGACATGATTCAAACCTACAGCAAGTATTCCAAAATATCAATGCAATGCTAACCAGAGAACACACAGGCACAGCTCCACCGCACCTAGCAGAACTCTTGAGTCTTCTGTGTGGAGTAGCACTGGCCAAGGCCCCGTGATTTATCCCACACCTCACCCCCACAAGGTATCCTGTGACCAGTCATACCTTGGATACTCTCTCTGTCAGGTGATTCGGCACTTTCTTGGAAACTGCATGTCTTAAACAGGGAGCGCTTCACAGCATTCTGGGAGTAGGCAAAGAATTTCCTTTCACGCTTTCTACCTGCAAGACAACAGTGGGGGGTGGGGATGAACCATCAGTCTCCATTCTGCAAAGATTCCATCCTTTTTTGACAGGTAATATGGCAGCAGCGGTAAGTGATCCCAGGGTGGTGCTCACCCAGTGGTCTAATGGGATCAGTACCTCTTTAAGGGTGAGGTCTTCACTTGACAAACCATTGTTTCCATTCACACTCCAGCAGAGCTTACCAAGAGGAAGAAAACTGTTTACCACAATTGCAACACTCAAAAGCAGCCACTGTGAACCAGATAGTGTACTTCCTCCATAGCAAAAAAAAAAAAAAAAATCACCCCAAATGATTACGTACTTATTTATAATCTGTTTTCACTCACTATTGTATCCATTTCTCCCATGTGACTGAAATCCCCCTCTAAAATGGCCCACGCAGTATCATCTTTACTCCTTTCCTCAAGGAGAACTTGGATGAGGAAAAACTGTATAGATAGATGTGGAAAGCAAAAGCTACTAGATGCCATCAGTCTGTCAAGGAATGAACTTACCTGATTTTAGTGAATAACTTTCGGTGGGTTCCTTCTCAAAGTAACAGGTCTCCTTTCTTATGGTAAGGCCAGAACGGAGCCTCATATAGTAGACATGGCAAATTTCTTTGGTCTTCTGTTGGGATCCTAACAATAGGAAAAGAAAGCATAGTCTTCTGCAGGTCATATCCTATAAATATATACAGCACCTCCAACAGAGACTGTAGTAGTACTACTTGGCTAAAAATTAACTTGGCTAATTTTATAGTAAGCAATAGGATATGTTATGCAAAATGAAACGAAGTCTTCTACTTCTCGTTATTGGGACTTTGTCAAGAGGCAAATGAAAAGAGAAAAGGACTAGTTTTGCTCATGCTTCAGGTCCTTTATAGAAGGGAAGGTGTGGCTGCCTGCTCACATCTCAGCAGACCGTGAAGGGGAGAGAATAGAGAATAAATGGTGGTGCATAGCTGTCTTTATCTGTATCCTTTCTAATTGGCTCCGGATCCAGGCCATGGCACATTGCAGCTGCCCATTTTCAGGGTGGGTTGAAATTAATCCTGTCTGGAAAATGCTGTCGTAGGCATACCCAAAGATGCGCCTTCAGAATGCCTCAAGCAGTTCAATCAAGTTGACATTTGAAATTAACCATCACAGACCTTGGGATCTAACAGACAATAGGCTGGGATTGTTATTTTGCTGGCAAATGAACTGTTGAAACCTTTAGGTCTTTATTGTTGTTTTCAGAATGTCATTTGAGGGATCATGGCTCTATATTAAGCATGTATCAGCCCAGCCATTGCCTAACCCAGGGGAATGTTGACATCCATACGAGATTTGAGCTGTTTTCCTGTTCATCTTGAATAAACTTTTAATAATTTTTGGAAGAAGGCTGAAAACTATAAAGGGTATTGAAACTAAAATAACTGCCATTAACCAAGTATCAGCTCTAGGCCAAACACTCCGCCAATTAATTTCATAGCCCTTTTAATTTAGCTACTCATAATAATCTTAAGTGTTATTATCATAGCTTTACAATGATAATCTGAGGCTTCTAAGAATCACAACACTGCCCAAGATTACATGGTTTGTGAGCTCTTTAAGGAGTGTGTTAAATGTCATCATGAACTCTTGTGCTTGGATACTTGGTCCTCACCTGGTGCTACCCTTTGGGAGATTGTGGAACCTTTGGGATGTAGGGCCTTGCTGATACGCATATCCACAGGGGCCAGTCTCAGAAGATTATAGTCTGGTCTTTCAGTTTCCTCCTCCTGGTTGGTGCCATAGGAGAAACTGCTGCAAGTTTTGGCTGCCATAGATCAAACGGATCCAGCCACCCTCCATATCATGATGGACTGTACATTCTAAGCCACAAAGCAAAATGAATTGTCTGCCTTTAAGTTGCTTCTGTAAGTTTTGGCCATAGAGGTGTAAAAGTAATTAACATAGTATGTTTAATATCAAAGCTATTCATTAGACTCTATCACCACTGATGAAAATGACCACAGTCCAGATGTGGCCACGTCTCTAGTCCCAGCACTCAAGAGGTTAAAGAAGGAGGGTCCTGAATATTCAGATAAGTCTGAGCTACACAGAGTCTTATTTGGCTGGGGGTGGTGGTGGTGAAATCTGCCCTGCTAACCAAATACAAATTCAGTCAGCTGAACTAAAAAAATAAAAAATAAAAATAAATAAATAAAAAAATAAAAAAATAAAAATCAACCAGTTGTTCAGTAATCCTCATTTTACTTAGCCAAAGAAAAACAGAAAATTCCATTTGTGTCTTAGACATCATAAATAGCCTCTCAGGGTCAGGTTGAAACAAAGACTGTAGCATGTGAGTTGTAAGATCTCAATAATCAAAGTGAACTCTGGCATCAATGTCGGGAATTCTGCCATGTCTACTCCATAATGTGGTATCTATAATGGGCTTCATTTTCTGGATACTAAGACTTTGTTTCTCTTTCATTGAATTCTAAATTCTGAGTTTATTAGATTAATTGTATTTGATCCATTCTTCTTCATTTGGGGCCTGGGTATCTTCCTTTGTGTTTCTCTCCCTTATCAATAATGAGTAAATTGATACACCAAAGGTCTTGGCAAACATGTGGAGTGAGAGTGTATCAGTTTAGAGATGTGTCCGTTAATTAGGGGAAAGGTTTTGGGATTTGATGGCAGGAGCTGTGAGAAGTGTGAAGGGATTGATATAAAAAAGATTGTAGTTTACTAAGTTTACACTCATTAAAGGTCTATGTTATCTAATCCAGCACTGTCCTGTGCTGTACCCAATAACAACATGAGCCACCTCCCTTTCCCTTTCAGTTCGTATGTTCTTAGGTGTTACCGGCAAGGTAGCATGTCTGAACATTGAAATAAAATGTATTTGATAATACATTTCAAACAGCGTGTAACAGAGGAATGCTGATGCTCTTACTTCTTAGCGCGCATGGTTTCACCAGGGCTTTGCCTGTTGCGCTGCTCAGCGTGGCTGGGGAAATTCTGGAGGTTGAATATGTCATTTTAGATCTCATTTTTCAGGTTTCTGTGGGATTAAAGTACAATATTAGTACAACTGTATGTACTTGAAATCACCAGAAACAACCTTGCTAACTCAACATGAAATCGATAGCCATACAGAAAAAGTAAATAAATACACTTGGGCATAGTATCCTGACTGTGCCCTTGTGCTAGAATCTAGCCATAGAATGAATAGTAATTATTTTAAGAAAGCACAGAAAAGCCGGGCATTGGTGGCGAACACCTTTAATCCCAGAACTCGGGAGGCAGAGGCAGGCGGATCTCTGTGAGTTCGAGGCCAGCCTGGTCTCCAGAGCAAGTGCCAGGATAGGCTCCAAAGCTACACAGAGAAACCCTGTCTCGAAAACCAAAAAAAAAAAAAAGCACAGAAAAATCTCAAGCTGAGTAGATTTATTGTTAGTGGCAATGTTTGTATTGAGACCTTAGGATTGTTGTGTTGTAGTACATAGCAAAAATAGTAGCCATACAGATGTTGCATGATTTTCACTGTAGGGGGAAAAAATACAAAAATATGTAAATCAGAAGCCAAGACAAATTCCTTGTAATGATAAATTTAGTCGGTATTAAACGAATGCCCAGCAGTGTGTGCGCATATGTTGTTTTCTAAATATTTTATCTGAATAAAAGGAACCATGACTCCAGATACAGGGCCAGGAAAGTAATAATGAACGTGAAAACATGTTGCGTCAGAAAAGCGTTAGTTAGTTAAAAACTAATAAGGTTGTCTCAAAGCGTGCGGGAGCCACCTTGGAGTTTCTGCCTGTGGGATTTGGCATCCTCTGAATATTCAAAAAGTAATGATGGTGATCAAGAATAAGCATAATTTCTCAAGTTAGAAGATCAAGGTAACAGAGGAGAAACTATATTCCAAGGAGACAGGGAATCAAGGCGAGTGGGGTGGGTGGTAGCTAAAATGCATGACAAACTAAAAGATGACGAAAAGTAGGAAGCAGTCCAAAACTCCAGCTGGGCTCCCTGCATGAGTGGAGGATGGGGAGAGGGGCTGGGAGGGGTCAGGAGGGAGGGAAGCAGCAATCACGTGGTCAGCCCCGTTTGGGTGGCCATAATGAGAACAAAGGAGCCGTGCTAGCTACGGGAGAAGCCCATGACTGACAAGACAGCACAGTTCTCACAAGCGTTAAATCCAGGGCAGGCATTTGATCTGAGGTGAGTTCTCTCTCACTGCTGGCTAGCATTAAGGAGACATCTCCTCACTCTCTGTAACTTAGAGCGTTGTGATCAGGAACTATCTTCAAAGGGGACCTATTGTTTGAGCAACTCTGTAGATGAGAAAATACAGGCAGGTGACTAGTCAAGGTGCCTGGGAACACTCTGCCATAGTGACTGTCCAGGAGAAGACACTGTAAGAAGACGGGATGACAGATCCACTGAGAAGTTCCAGTAACCCGGAGCCTGGGCTGTGGAAGACGCAGTGATCAGAAATCCTGTCCCCTTGTGGCGAGGACTGTGATCTGTAGCTTGTGACCTGCCTAGACTGAGACCTCCAAGCCTGCAGCTGCAGGTTTCTGAAAAACCAAGGCAGGCAGATCATCACTCTCCTCCCATCACTCTCTAGTAAACGAGGTGAACTTTGCCATCTCGTGGACTGCAGACTGAGGCTCTCTGGAATGAATGGGAACCTGCCCAGCCTACAGGAAGTAGACAGCAGCGTGGGGCTCAAAGGCCCTACAAATGCAAACGAAGAAAGCCTCTAGACTTTATTATTAGAGTCTAGCTTAAACAGAGCCCTGATGCAGACGACATGCCCTCCACGCCAGCCTGCTTAGCAGGAGAAAACACAAACCCACTGCCCTCTCCACACGGACCTGGACAAGCCCTTCTGTCCCCCTTTTGATTTCTCTTCCATTTAAAAAAACTATTATTTATTATTTTGAATTTTAATGTTTTTCTTTTCTAATTTTATTCTTCTTTTATATTTGAGTTTTAAATCTCTTGTTATCTTCCGCATATCGTTGTCTTTCTTTCCTCTTTTTAAATTTTTTTAAAAATTAAAAATATGATTACCTCATTACTCAGGCAAATAGAACCATCTAATTCTTGACAGAGGTATCAAAAACATATAATGAAAACAAATAACCTTAAACATTTTTTTAACTGGGAAAATTGGATTTCCACATGTAGAAGAATTTGAAAGCAGAAACCTATTCCTTCTTACCCTGTGTAAAAAGAAAAAAAAAAAAAAACCCACAGAAACTCAAAATGTTATCTATTCTATCTCTCCATTACTATCCTACCTCTGTTTTCTGTTCAGAGAGGGGTTAAAAATTAACTACTCTATAAAAGTTATAACCATGTATTAAAGGAAATTATTTGTTCTGAGCCAGTGATGATGACTGATCCTGGCTCAGGAACATGGATTTGGGTTATCCTAATAATGCATTCCTAAGCCAAAGCAGTTCCATGAAGTCTGTAGGACAGGACAAAGGAAGTCATAAACCAGTATATACAACAACTGTATTAGTTAATAACTGCGGGGAGGGTTGGGTCGGAACTTGGGATTTTGTTTTAAACGTTCCTCTCTTCTTGTACTCAAAGCATATGCTTTATGAAGATATTGGCATAAGGCAGAGTTCCCTGAAGAAGCTGTATGCGTGCCGATTACCTCACACACTCTTCTCCTTGGCTGAGTAAAATATTGTGATTGTGGAGATGTGTAAGATCAAGAACCAGAGTGGCTGTCTTAGGCTTTTTGTGTAAGCAACCATTTCCTTTTAATAATGATACCCAATCTGATGCCCTCAGAATGTTTTGTTTATGCTTAGTGCAATGCTAAGGCACTGTAAGATAACATACAAAACCTACAAGAAAGATTTCCTCATTTTTCTATACCTACTGCTCATTGAATATGTTGCTTATGACTAATGCAGCTGTTGACTGTATTGGTTTATGACTTCCTTTGTTCATTGCCTGCAAACCTTCATGTAACTGCTTTGGTTTATGATTGAATTCTTTAGGGTGACCTGAATCCATATTACTGAGCTATGATTAGTCACCATTGCTGGCTTAGAATAATTGATTTTCTTTGTAGCAGACCTGTAACTTTTACAGAATAGTTAATTTTTAACCCTTATGCGTGGGATCATGAGGCTAGGTAAACATATTAAGGATAGGTTTTCAGTTGGACAGAAAATAGTTTAAATAGTAGCCTGTACCAGTAGGGAATGAGGTAGCACAGCAGAATGAACATTGACCTTCTGAGCTGCTTCAAAAACTGTAATGGGTTTTGTTTGCTCTTTCACCCAACAGTACATGTGTCCTAGAAACAACATTTTTCTAGTCAAGACATAGAAATTGCTTTTAAGGGGAGGGCGAGGGAATGGGGGGATTGATATGTAAAATAAGATTGTTTCTAAAATAAAAAAAAAGAAATTGCCTTTTAAATAAATCTATATGTTGCAGTCTATAGCCTATCTTCTTGGAGAGTTAGAATCCATGGTAGCATAGTAAAGACACCATAGCCCCCGACTGAAGTGTTGTGCCTGGCTTTGCTTTATTTTCAGTGATTATCATAACCTTCTCTCCCTTCGTTACTTCCATGGACTAGCCTGAGAAAACACATTTGGAAGAACTCTTCTCTAAAGGGCCATTTGCTTGCGTGGTTGAACAAGATAAAAACTAAGAGATAAACATTGATGTTGGAGTCATCAACGTAGAAAATCAGATTCATTATTACAATTACAAAATCTAGGGTATGCATGTAATCCGGATCTGTTTTCCAATCCCATTCTGAAAAACAAACCACTTTACTCAATAGCAAGACTTTAGTCTTTTTAGATCAGAACTATTTGAGAGCCTATAAACAGTACTGTCCCCCCCGCTGCCAGCAACAGAGAGCAAATATTCTTGTAGATTGGTGTGGCACTCACCTCCCTAATGGCAGGGAATAGCTGGTCTTGAATAATGTTCGTTCCTGCAGTCAGCACTAGCTGATAGCCAGCACAGTCACATTCCAGTTCTATTTATACGGTAGCTCAGATTAAGCAATGTAGGTGGCAGAGGCTGATGAATGAAGCTATGCAAATAGAGCTATCTGAATGGGCTAGAATGTGTGGGTGTGTAGCTTTTTCCTACAGGACAAATCCCAACAGAGTAGCAATTTCAGAATCATACTTAATTAGTAATTAAAAATATATAATCTTTAAAACAGATGCTCAATGGTGCTTTTTCTGGATTATAGAATAGTCAAGGGAACAGATTGTCTCTACTATAGAAAGTTGGGTTTTCTTTTTCTAGGTAAATTTTTTTTTCTGACAGTGAAAATGATATATGTGCCCTCAGAAAAATATGTCAATATCTAGAAAGTACTGATGCTATCAGATTTTTTTCCCTCCATGTGAAAAAGTTGCATGTGCACCTATTTTAAATTAGAAAGTAGAATCATACTGCAAATACTTTGTGAACCAGCTTTTTCATTCTCTAAAATTAACACTGTATCCTAGGTGTTTTCTGCTTTGAGTTATGTATCTTTCTTTATTCCTTCTTATCCCTTCTAAATGAACACATTGGCTGTTCTCAGGCTTTTCTTTTCTATTTCCCTAATACTAGCATTCCAGCAGGGGGTGGGGGAGTGCATGTGTGTGCTTCTTAGAAAACTTTGAAATTCGGTGGTAACATATATATCATAATAGCGGAATTTACCTCTGGATCGAGAGGTGCTGACATTTATTTATTTATTTATTTGCAGTTATTTCTATTTGACTTCTAGAAGCTTGTATTGGTTTGTAGTTTGTCAGCAGTCTAGCTGAGTTTCCTTATCCCTGGCCCTGAAGCAGCAATAGTTGTTGTCACCTTTGACACATTCACCTGTCTGAAGAATAGAAATACTTTCTGTTATGACTCCGTGTATTGGAGTCTTGGACTAAATAAAAAGGAGAAAATGAGCTGAACACTAATATGCATAGCTTTCTGCTTGCTGGGTGTGAATACCATGTGACCAGCTACTTCAGTGTTCCTGCTGCCATGTTTGTGGCCATGATGGGCTGGACAGACTATGAGCCAAAATAAACCTTTTCCTCTCATGTCCCTTTTGTCGGGTATTTTGTCAAAATAATGAGATATAATCTGTAAGTCAAGAAATTAAAATTAAGCCCATCAGCCCACTAGTGATGCTTGTTAAAACATTGTCCCTTAGTGCTATTTATCTGATTTTTTTTTTTTTTTTTTTGGTTTTTCAAGACAGGGTTTCTCTGTGTAGCTTTGGAGCCTATCCTGGCACTCGCTCTGGAGACTCACAGAGATCTGCTTCCCTCTGCCTCCTGAGTGCTGGGATTAAAGACCACCACCGCCCAGCTTATCTGATTTTTAAATGACATTTTAATCCATATGGTTCTTAAATATCCTGCGGAAATGTTTGATCAGAATTTTTGCTTAAAAATTCTGTGGTTTGTGTCTTAAGACATCTTTCTCATCTATGACTAAAAACAAATTTGCTTATGTTATTTCCGAAAATGTTTAACTCACTATTACTATAAGCATAGAAATGTAAGTTGTGGTCAGCCATGGTGACACACACCTTGAATCCCAGCCCTCTGGAAACAGAGTTTCCCAGAATGAGGTCGGCCACAAGTCTCTCTCTCTCTCTCTCTCTCTCTCTCTCTCTCTCTCTCTCTGTGTGTGTGTGTGTGTGTGTGTGTACACATATATTTGTTGTTGCTGCTGTTGTTTTTCAACTGCTTATTCTGGTTACATTTGCAATCCAGCTTAGATAAAGTAATGCTTCAGTGTGTTGTGCTGTCCTCAGTATGTGCGGGGCTGTGGATGGAGTAAGGACAACGGATAGCCAGAAACTCCAAAACCTATTTATTTTTATTTTTGAAGCAGGATCTCAGTATGTCATGGCCTGGGATTCTCCGTGTAGACCAGGCTGGTTTTGAACTCATAGAGATCCATCTGCCTCTGCCTCCAAGTGCTGAGATTAAAGTGTGTACCACCGTGCCTAACTAATAGCAGAAAGCTTTTTAAACATTGATAAAATTATGTGAGCGTAATTTTCTGAATATGTAAAATCCCAAAGGAAAAGAGAGAGAGAGAAAAAAAAAAAGACCAGTTTGGTGGCAAATATCAGACAAAAAGTAGTGAAAAAAGTGATGGGGTCATGTTAGTAGGACCAGTGTGAAGTATAAGAAGCTGAACATGGACTATTCACACACATCAGAGTTCTTGGGTGTCAATATGAGGAAGTCCATTGTCCTAAGTCACAAAACAAACCGAAAAAGTGTCAACTGTAATCCGTTCTAAAGTGCAAATGTGTAGGGTAGCCTCTTTGGTTTTTAGAAGTCTACATTCAACAAATATTGCATTCCCATTTTAGACCAGGGACTATGGAGCATGAGCCCATGGAACACGATGTGAAATTTTCTTTTCACTTTGTTATATTATCTACATCTGGTCAACCAGCAAATCCTTTCCTGAAACCCCTATGTTCTCTTAGCTGTCTAGTGATTCCCTTTGCACTCAGAATGTTAGTCTGACTGTCCACCTTTCTTTCCTTAGTAGAATCCTTGTGAAAACTTGCTGAACCATCCACTTCCTATAATCAATATTGCTAAAATGTGAGGTTCTTAAGAAAGTTTTTATAAACTTGCATGCTCAACTTGGAAATTCTGGTTAATACTGAAAAGAGGGAATTCAACCTTTGTCACTCAAGAAAGTAATTAAGTGCTTTAGGCATCATTGCCTGGGAAGCCTAACTTCCCTGAGGTCCTGAGGTCATAGCTGTGATGGGTTTGGGTCTGTTTATAGAGGGCTGCCTCATGATAATAACAATAACATGTCAAGTACTTCATTTCTAGGCTAGGTGTCTGAGCTGCAGTAGTGAACCAAATCAAAGTTCTGCCCTCTGAAGTTTACTCCGCATTGGGGAGGTAGCTACTGAGTAATTTTCACACAAATACATTCCTGAACACTGATGTCAGGAATCAAGAGTGGGGTGGACTAAGGAAGTGCGGTCACAACCTAATGTCTAACTAAGGTCCATCCAAAAGGTTCAAAGGGCCTGTGGAAGGGAGGGGCAGAGTGCCTTGTAGGCAAAGAACACTCCAGCACAAGGCACTCAATTCAAGACACCCACATCTGCTTAAAGAACAGGGGGAGCCTGGCCGAAGCACAGATGGCTACCAGGAACATAGTACGATGGGCTTAGAGACAGTAGAGGGCAGGAGGCAGGTTTGGTTGGGCTCAAGAAATCAAAGGAAGTACCTTGGCCTCAAGTTAAAATACAGAAGGAGCCAAAGAAAAATCTTTAAGTAATATGGATGTCATTTTCTTTTTTCATTATTCCATTTCATTATTTTTCATTTCCTTCCTTCCTTCCTTCCTTCCTTCCTTCTTTCCTTCCATCCTTCTGTAGTCTGGCAGAGATTACATTGACAATGGTAAGGGAAGCCAGATCTGATATCAGGATTTTTTCCGTAGGATATGGGGGACACTGATAGAATGGGGTGATGCTGAAGTCTGGGGCCCCAAGTTCCAGTTCACTACTAGCCAAGCTTTATGCTCTAACATGGGAAGAAGATGCATAAGTCTGTGGTGGGCTCTCAAAAACCTGTTGCTAGTTCATAGAAAAAGACAGTGTCCCTCAAATGGCCTGCCCTAGTTTTATTTGTATAGCTGTGCTAAAATACTCCCACAAAAAGCAAGTTGGGGAAATGAGGGTTTTAACTTCAGCTCACAATTCCAAGTCACGTAGTCCATCTTTATAGGGAAGTCAAGGCGGGACCTTCAAACAGCTGCTCACATCATATCACAGCCAAGAGAAGAAACGTGAATGCTGCTGACATGCTTGCTTGCTTGTACTCAGCTCTATCTCTCCATTCCTATAGACCAGGGCCCTGATAGGGAATTGTGCCACCCACAATTGGGCTAGATTCATTAACCCAACTACAACAATCCCCCACAGACATCCATCCAGTCTGGCCCACTACACACAATCCCTTATTTAGGCTCTTGTCTAGAATGGTTCTAGGTTGTGTCAAATTGAAACCATCACATGGTCCTAGCTGATAGAAAGGAGAAGAAACAGGGAGCATGGCTGTTTTCTCTCACACATCACAGGACAGTAATGATGCAGAGTGGCCTCTCACACCAGCCCTCTGCTTTCTTGGGTATAGTAGTTTCATTTCTTTTTCGGTGGAAGTGAGAATACAGGAAGCATAGGAAGGAAGGGAAGGCTGAAGTGAAAGCAACCTCCTCATTTGAGTTGAGCTGCTTTCTCTTTTTCTTCCTCCCACTGCTCTGAAATTTCCCTCTCCCAGGGAGAGGAAATGGTCCCTGGAGAAAGCTGACAAATCAGTGAGTCAAGACAGATCCCTCAGAAGGGAGGACAGGGATGATGTTTCTACTGGTAAGATTTCTTTAAAGTGAGAGGCGCTCAGTATTGTTTAAAATTATCTTTATCTGTAAACACACGTACACTCGAATGTGCTCAGACCACTTGTGTGCAGGTACCCAAGGAAGCCAGAAGAGGGTATCAGATCTCCTAGAGCTGGAGTTACACGAAGTTGTGAGCTGCCTTATATAGATCCTGGGAACTGAACTTTCTTCTGGAAGAGCAACAAGTGTTTTTAACCACTGAGCAGTCTCTCCAGCCCCAGCACTTTTTTCCTGTGAATCTCTGCTTTGCTTTTCTGTTCCTTCTCTGGATATAGCATTCTCCATTCACTTCCATATCTGCCAGGATGTGTTCCATCAGCCTGTATCACTTCCCTCCACACCCTCTACCTCACAGGACAGACTTGTCTTCCTTGGTACCCACCTGCTCTCACACCTGCTCACCATTGCCCACCTGCCCTCACACCTGCACACCATTGCCCACCTGCTCTCACACCTGCACACCATTGCCCACCTGCTCTCACACCTGCACACCATTGCCCACCTGCTCTCACACCTGCACACCATTGCCCACCTGCTCTCACACCTGCACACCTTTGCCCACCTGCTCTTGCCAGTGACGCCTGATGACGTTTCAATTTGACCCTTGGAGCATAATTCAAACATTTATCACCCGAACAGCCCACAGCTAAAGC